AGGACTCCTTTTACGTACATGTTTGAATGCTTGTTATATTCCACAAGCCACTGAGGCTCTGTTCATTTTTTAGTGTTTTTATTTTCTGCACCTTTAAGTTTCAGTAATTCTAATGCTATAGATTTAAGTTCACTGATAATTTCTTCTGTAACATTCAATCTACTTTTTTAATTTAAATTTTAGTTAGTGAACATACAGTGCAATATTGGTTTCTGGAGTAGAATTCAGTGATTCAGCACTTACATATAATACCCAGTGCTCATCATATCAATTGCCCTCTTTAATGTCTAATCTACTTTGAATGCCATCCAATTAATTTTTCATTATAGATCCCTTTTTCAGTTTCAAAAGCTACTTTTTTTCTTTGCATCTTCCATTTCTCTTCTGTTTGTGTTCATGCTTTAAATTCTAGACCATATTTATAACAGCTTTTTAAAAGTTCTGATTTCTAATTTCATCTTCCATGTCATTTCCAGATGTTTTTTCTTGAGTGACTTTTCTGCCGTTATGATTTACATTTTCATGGCACTTGTTTGCTATTGCCCTCCCTGCATTTGTGGTCTGGAAAGTGCCTTCAGGCAGAAAGCTGGGATAATTAGAGAACTCACCTTGTTTGTTTTCTTTCTCTTAGGGTCCATAAGTCCTGTGCACCTCTAGTCTAGTGACTGAAAAAGTTGTTTCACATATTTTATCTGGCTTTCTGGTGTGTGTGTGAGTGTGTGTGTGTGTGTGTGTGTGTGTGTGTGAGAGAGAGAGAGAGAGAGATGATTCTTGTTTTGGTTTATACATCATAGCCCATTATATTATTTTTAAATATAATTTTATTTCCTTTTCCCCCCTATTTTCTGATTCTTGTATTCTTATTTGTCATATGTTGGATCTCCTGAATTAATTTTTTAAATTTATTTTTTACTTGATTATTTTCCATTTTTTCTCTTTTGTTCTTTCTTGGAGACATACAATTTTGTCATTTAAGCTTTGTATTGAATATTTAATTTCTTCTTATTTTAAATACTGCTGTGATTTTTCAACTGCAGTCTCTCTCTGGATGAACTTCTTCACAAATTAAACCTGTCCCTGGTAACTTTAATTTTAAGGTAGTCTGTCTAGGTAATCTTTTTCATTTTTTCTTCCTTCATCTCATCTTATTTCGAGTCTAGCATTTTTGTCCTGTTGTATATTGAAATTTCAGGTATGGAGAAGTATTTCATGAAAAACCTCAAGTTCTTCAAGTCTTAACATGGAAAGAAATTTCTAAGAGGTTCATGTGGCTTTGGTTAGAAGAAAAAGGTGCAAAGCTCTGTTAAAGTACTCCATTTCTGAAATATGAAAAACAAAACAAAACAAAACCCAACCATGATACTTGACCAGATATAATCTCACTACTGCCAAATCCAGTAGATTTCTGTCAACGTATTATCTGCCCTCATGTCAGCCACTCAACAGCATCAAATGCAAGGAGCCATTCCCTCTTTCTTGAAGCTTCTTTTTCTTGTCTTCTTCTGCATCATTAACTTCTCCTAGTGCCTTTTCATCTAAATGATCTCTAAATATTGGAATCTATTCTCTATTCCTACTGTCTTTCACCCAGAGTCATAGCTTTAAATATCCTGTTAATACTGTTGACTCTCAAATTTTCCTATCTTCTCCCTTGAATTCCAAATGTCTACTTGGTCTGTCAATTTCAGTGTCCAGTAGACATTTCAATAGAAGGAAGTCTTTTATTCCATCCCTTGTACTTCCCAATTTGTAAAGGCTACCATGTCTCCCCAGATCCTCATGCAAAAAAACAATGATTCATCCTTGATTCTTCTCTTTCCTTTATTATTGTGCACCCTACTCAACAAGTTCCATAGGATCAATAAAAAAAAAATACCTCTAATCCATCCACTCCTTTTCATCTCCAAGCAACCATCTTTTCTTAACCTTTGCAGTAGTCTCCCAACAGATGTCTTTGCTGTTATTCTTGCAACACTTTCTTTTTTTTTTAATTTTTATTTTTAAAAATATTTTATTTATTTGAACTAGAGAGTGAGCAAGTGAGAGAGAGCATGAGCAGGGGGAGAAGCAGACTCCCCACTGAGCAGGGATCCCAATGCAAGGCTCCAGGGACTCGATCCTAGGATCCCAGGATCATGACAGCCAACGGCAGTTGCTCCATCCAGGCACCCCCTTGCAACCTATTCATCACATAACTGATAATCTTCTAAAAATATAATCCTTTTAGTGACTTTCTATTACATTTAGAATAAAATAAAATTCATGACTATGGCTTAAAAGATCTTTATGATCTGACCCCTATCATAATCTCACATTTAACTGTTGCCTCTTCACTCATTCAACAATTATTTATTGATTACTTACACTGTGTTAGAGACTGAGCTAGGCACTGGGATGCTTATCACAGTAAACTGGCCTCTTTTTTGTTCCTCGTATACTCAGAATCTTTAAAGCTTCTGTTCCCTATGCTTGGTATGTTCTTTTCTTAGCTCTTTGCACAGTTTGTTCTTTATCACTCTTCAGGTCTCAGCATAAGTATCATTTCCTCAGAGGAATTTTTCTCATAAACTGATTTAAAATATCTACTGACCCCTTTTCCATTATGTCATCCTATTTAATTTCTTCATAGCCCTTTTCATGATCTTCTCTGCTTATTTATTTTCTGACTGTTCCCTCCCGTCTCATTTTAATGTAAGCTCCTTGAGGGTAGAGATGCTGTCTGTCTTGATTATGGTATCCTCAGTGCCTAGAATGTTTTCAGAAGACATAGAGCACTGCCTGGCACGTATAATATTATAAATATTTTTAATAGATTAACTTGATGGGGATGGGTTCAGGGAGAACTACACAGAGGAGGTAACATTGAGTTCATTCTTAAAATATAAGGATTTGTTTATTTAGACTTTTATCTTTGGGCTGAATAATCAATAGTAATGAAAGTATTTATTTTGGTTACACATTTTTCCTGATTATGCATTAGTAACCTAGCTTAAGAATCACTGTAGGTGAAATAGTTGGTCTTAATGTCATTCAGAAAAACTTCCTTTGGAATCATTTGGAGCCTAGCATTTTTGTCCTGTTACCGAAATTTCATTTTCTGTTCAGAGTTAAAACCATAATAGAGGATCTCCTGAGTGGCTCAGTTGATTAAGCATCCAAACCTTGATTTCGGCTCAGGTCACAATCTCAGGCTCCATGCTCAGCACTACATCTTCTTGAGCTTCTCTCTCTCCCACTTCAGCTGCCCCTCCTTCCTCTCACTGTACTTGTGCTCTCTCTCTCTCTCTCTCAATAAATAAATAAAATCTTTTTTAAAAAGCATAATAGCATAAGGCTTTAAGGATAATGACAATAACTGAAATGAATCTTGGTAGTAATTATAATTAACAACTAATCAGATCCTTTAAAATATATTTACCATTCATTACCAAGCATTGCATGTAAAACCTGGCTTACAAAAACATTTGGGAAAAATACTTAAACTGCACTTAAAATTGACGACAATTTGGGAGACTAGAATTCTCCACTTTTCTCTCCCCAGGAAAGGTGAGTTTCTGTGACTGGCCGCTCTGTTTCTATTTTCCATGTGATGAATAGAGAATGTTACACACAGAACAAATCTTCTCTACTTAATAAAAACTTAGACTCCAGGCTCTGTCACTTTGATTAGGATCATATGCATGTGTAGTGTATTTCATATAAGGCTGTTGATCTACCACAAAATCATATTCATACAAATACTGTAAAATCATCAAAAAATTAAATAATTTTGATGAATACAAAATGTCCAGTGGGGGAAAAAATCTAGAAGAGCAGTCTAAAACTTAAAATATTTTTGAATGTAGACTTTATCCCATGAACTTCTTACATCCTTCATGTTGTAAGATGCAAGAATTAACTGGGTCATGCTTCCTTATTGGAAGCATTCCTTATTTTTATTTTATTTTATTTATTTATTTTTATTTATTTATTCCTTATTTTTATTTTGAATATCCATCCTGATTGTTCAGTGACTTTTTAGGTATTTGGGGGAATTTATTTGTAGTATAATATGTGTAATATTTTCATAATTATCTACTGCTATAGTAGTTATGGGACTAGCCAGGTAATAGGTCTGAATTTGGAAACAAGTCAGGGGAAACTTTTTTAAGGTCAGTGGATAGATGTCTGGAAGTAGTTTTGAAAACAAGAGCTCTGTTTATGGGGGGGAAAAGCCCTTCATTGCGCCTATGGCTTCAGGTAAAGAAATTATACCCAGCCCACCCTATTGCCATACCAGAAACTGAGGTCATGGCTGTGGCTCAGCTTACAGATGACTGTTTCCAGGAAGCCTTTTCTAGCCCCAGGCTGAGTTGGTGCTGCCACGATACTTATGAAAACAGAATCACAATGTAGTCCTCTTACTTGCTGACTGTGGATTTTTTTGAGCCCCAGGACTTTATCCTTCCTTCCTCTGAACTACACAGAATACTACAGTGTCTGACAGACATGTAGGTGCTCAGTACATATTTGAATGAATAAATAATTGAATGAATATGGTATGATAAGATATAACATGTCATAAATACAGCTGGCACAAATTAGAATAAGTTCAAGATCCAGATACTTGCTCAAGGAGCAGCAGCCAGGAGAGTGTTCAGATCTAATCATAGTTACTAGAAATTCAGTCATTGGGAGATCAGAGTTAAGTGGTAAGAAATCTAATCTCCAGAGGGAAACATTTGATGGAAAAATAATACAGAGAGGAAAAGCACATATTTCCTTCTCAGAGAAACCTCTTTCTGTTGGTGAGGAGTGGAGGCATAGGGGTATGGAAGAGAAAAACAGGTAAGAGGACAAAATTGTGCAAATACAGTAAGAAGCTGAGATTCATATGCTAGTTTTAGAGTTAATCCAGAATAGTTTTTAAAGTAATAAATTTTATAGATATTTAGAAAAATAATTACTTTTAATTCACAATTTCATGTAAATACTTTAAAATTATTTTTTCTTTACATTACCTTCACATGCAGAAGTTGGTTGTCAACTGCTATGAGCTGATTAAGATTCTCCAATATTTCTAGGTCTCTTATGTCATCAATATTATTATTGCTGATATTCAATATAGAGAGGGATTTCTGTAAGAAAAATAAATTAGCATTAATAAATAGTCTAATTAAATGCTGTATATAGTAACCAGAAATCTTAATTTGTGAAAAATGTATCAGTTCAGGCTATTTTGCTTTTTAGGCAAGAAAATTAAAAGCCATGGAGATTTTGTTTTCCTGCCATATTTTTTCCAGACATAACTTTAAGGACTTTAGTAATTGTGATATGACTTACTATTTTTGTCTAAAATTCCTTCATAAGTCTGATTTTCCTCTTCTAGAATATAAAAGAAATTTATAGAAAAAAGAAGCCAGGAATCAAGAAGCAAACAAAAAAAGTGCCCCAACAAACAAATGATAACAGAGTGTAGAAAAACGGTTATTTCAGTTTAAGCAAATTATCTTTTTGTGTTAAATATCACTAAGATTTGTACTTACATAGGAAGAAATAATTTTTGTCTATTTTTCAGAATATGAAAAATGACTTAGAGATTATCTGGTTTAATTTTTATCTTTATCTCTCTTATAGTTTTCTCTTGACAATCCATATGTTCAGAAGGCACTTAAAATAAAAATTAGCTAATTAACAAGCAGTATGAACATCACTATTAGTGAGGACATAAATACACAGTAGAGAAGCACTAAACCAAAGCCATCTTAAAATCTACGGCCTAATAATCTCTACCAAGACTGAGCTGACCCACCAAGCCATCCATAACTAACCTTTAGAGAAAATACTTCTTGATACTTTTTAAGAATTTAAAAAATTATGCCTTATATTTAGAATTTTAGAATCTGCTTGAATCTATGCAAAAATTGAGCAAGCAAAATGTTTTATACTGGCGTTTGTAATAAAACTAGCCATCCTCATAGAGGGATCAATTTATTTGGGTCAGTGGAGGTGAGCTGAGATACACTTGATTCTATGGGGAAGATAGGGAGAGGGTAGGATAGAAATAAGATCGCTTCTTTCTTTTCCAATTTAAAGGACTATTTTTCAATTTTTATAAATTCGGTTCACAAAACTTTTATTGCTCTCTTTTTCTGGGCCCTCTAAAATAAAGCCAATGAAATCTATAAACACAGAACCATTTTCCCTTTTATGTCTCTTGCCCCAGAACTGAAGGTAGCCTATCCTAACAAATCCCATTTTGAGAATTAGCAAAAGCCTCCATTGCGGCCCCTGGCTTCTCAACTAATTGTGACACCTTCACCATGTATCTGGGCGTCAGGTCACAGTGGGAGATTCGTATCTGGTACTCCCAGATCTGCCTGCTTCTAACGAAGCAGAGCTGTATGTAGGGCAACCTACAATCAGATCAGAATCCAGCGAGAAAACATTTCATCATCATGATTCTCTAGGTTGTTTAAAATTTGCCAAATAGTTGTGCATGACTCTTTCCTTAGGCTTTTTCCTAATATTTTAAATTTTGAATCATGATAATCACCAAGGCAGAAATTATTAATGAATTGACATCTGGACTAGAACCTAATAATTTACATAACCTTTCCACAACCTTCTTTTGATCCTTTTAGTACTGTAGAGGTAGGCATTATTATTCCCACTTTATAGCTTCTTATCTCTGAGAAATTATGTGAGAAAAGTTCATTTTAACCCTCAAGTAAAAGCTCAACTGTTTGGAACCAGAAGAGACCCCAAATAGCCAGAGGAATGCTGAAAAAGAAAACCAAAGCTGGTGGCATCACAATCCTGGGCTTCGAGCTCTATTACAAAGCTAAATCATCAAGAGTAATGGGTACTGACACAAAGACAGATACATAGATTAATGGATCAGAATGGAGAACCCAGAAATGGATATGGACCCTCAACTTTATGGTCAACTAATCTTTGACAAAGCAGGAAAGAATATCCAATGGAAAAAGAACAGTCTTTTCAATAAATGGTGCTGAGAAAATTGGATCGCCACATGCAGAAGAATGAAACTGGACAATTTTTTTACACCATACACTAAAACAGACTCAAAATGGATGAAAGACCTAAATGTGAGACAGGAATCCATCAAGATCCTAGAAGAGAACAAAGGCAGCAACCTCTGTGACTTTGGCTCCAGCAACTTCTTTGAGGACACATCTCAAAGGCAAGGGAAACAAAAACAAAAAAAAGTTATTGGGACTTCATCAAGATAAAAAGCTTTTGCACAGCAAAGGAAACAGTGAATAAAAGGTAACCTACAGACTGGGAAAAGATATTTGCAAATGACGTATCAGATAAAGAGCTAGTATCCAAGATCTATAAAGAACTTCTCAAATTCGAATCTATAAGGAACTTTTCAAAAACCAAATAAATGGGCAGAAAAAATGGGCAGGAGATATGAACAGACATAGCTCTCATATCTCTGAAGAAGACATACAAATGGCCAACAGACACATGAAAAAAAATGTTCAACATCACTCAGCATTAGAGAAATACAAATCCAAACCACACTTGAGATATTACCTCACACCAGTCAGAATGGCTAAAATTAGTCAGAAAACAACAAATGTTGATGAGGATGCAGAGAAAGGTACATCCTCTTACACTGTTGGTGGGTATGCAAGCTGATGCAGCCATTCTGGAAAACAGTATGGAGTTTCCTCAAGAAGTTAAAAAGCTACCCTATGATCCAGCAATTGCACTACTAGGGATTCACCCCAAAGACAGAAATGTAGTGACCCCAATGTTCATAGCAGCAATGTCCATAATAGCCAAACAAACTTTGGAGAGAGCCCAGATGTCCCTTGACAGATGAATACATACATACATACACAATGGAATATTACTCAGCCTTTGGAAAGAACAAATACCATTCACATTGATGTGGATGGAACTAGAGGGCATTATGCTGAGCAAAATAAGTCAATCAGAGAAAGGCAATTATCATAGGTTTCACTCATGTAGAAAATAAGAAACAGCACAGAGGATCATAGTGGGAGGGAGGGAAAACTGAATGGGAAGTGATCAGAGAAGGAGAAACAAACTAAGGGTTGCTGGAGGGAAGGAGGGTGGGGGTGTGGATAATTGGGAGATGGGCATCAAGGAGACACATGATGTGATGTGCACGGGGTGTTATATGCAATTGATAAATTATTGAACACCATATTTGAAACTAATGATGTACTATATGTTGGCCAATTGAATTTAAATTAAAAAATTCTCAACTGGCCATATAAACATACAGAGCATATGTAATGTTCAGATATACCTTTGCTACCTTCCTGTTCCATTATGACTGTTAATAACTATAGTCTTTGTCAGAATAACTATATATTCTTGTCAGAATACTCAAATTGGCCTTACTGCCAAAGAATGAAGAGTTCGTGGATCAAACAGAAGCTTTTCTCCAAGGGGAAGCCTCTGACTCTCAACATGAAGTTCTCTTAGTCCTTCTAATCCTTCTAAACCTTCTATGACAGCAATGTAATTGCCTCCGAGATACCTGCAAAATATAAAACAACTTTAAATACACGTTCTGAGAATCATGGTCTGTAAACATGACAAAAACATAACAATCACTGAGCTGAGTGAAAATTACATATGTGGAAATTTCAGAATCGTCTTTGTAATGAATCAATGAAAGGTTTATTTATATGATTCTTATACTTAACTTCGTCTAAGAAATAAGTTTATTTTTTTTTAAAGTAAGAGAATTGGAATAGTCCTTATTAAATGATCTACCAGTATTACTTTTATATATTAGGTGAAGAATCATCTGAGTAGAAGGGTCTTTTTTTTTTTTTAAGCTTTTTACAATTTATTTCAGAGAGAGTGTGAGAAAGAACATGAGGGGGGTGGAGGGAGAGGGAGAGATAGACTCCTGCTGAGCAGGGAGCCCAACACAGGGTTCCATCCCAGGTCCCTGAGATCATGACCTGAGCTGAAGGCAGATGCTGAACCAACTGAACCACCTAGGCTACCTCCCTGGGTATTAGTTTTAAAAATGGAAGATTTTTGCGCCTAACACCAGAGACTCTCATTTGGCTATCTAGATCAGAACCCAGCAATCTGCATTTTTTAAAAAGACTTTATTTACTTATTTGACAGAGAGAGATCACAAGAAGGCAGAGAGAGAAGGGGGAAGCAGGCTCCCCGCTGAGCAGAGAACTCAACATGGGGCTCGATCCCAGGACCCTGAGATCAGGGTCTGAGCCGAAGGCAGAGGCTCAACCCTCTGAGTCACTCAGGCACCCCGTAATCTGCATTTTTAATTAGCATTTTCTACCCTACTCTCTTCCCATTCTGAGGTTCTTGGCCTACTTTTTGAGAAGCACTGGTAATTCTTCCAATCTGGGAAAAATGAATACACCAGTCTTCATTGTTGAATTAAAATCATTATAGGCAGTAAATGCCTTTTTACAATCAAATCAACAGTATCAACTCTGTGACCCTGCCTCTTTGAGATGTGTGATTCTGAAAGGAGAGCTCATCTGGTTTCCATGGAAACTTTTTTCACCAGTTGAGTCTTTAGGGATGCTTTAGATATCCTTATAAGTGCTTAAGACAACTCACCCTCCTGCAAAAGAAAAGTGTATCAGGCTTAATGAAACAAATCGCCAAGTATTACATGTGTTACAGTTTATTTTGTACTAATAATACTATAAGAGAATAAAAATTGAGGCCTGTTCCGCCCAACTGCAGATAACGGAAAGGCCCGCATGCAAACATATTACTGTAATGATTACAAACAATTACATTACTTAAAAATAAAAGCACTTACAGTTTTTCCAGTTTCTTTAATGACCTGAGGTTCTCTATACATGAAAGACAATTGTTTTGTAGGTATAAGTGAGTCAGATTTGTAGCGTAATTCAAGTTAGTCATTTGACTAATACGGTTATCATACAAATATAAAACACTAAGATTTTTGCAAGGAGAGAGGTCTTCCTAAAAGAAAACAAAAACAGGTCATACTTAATTTCTCCTGAAAATTTAGAAGTTTGTTTTAAAGAAAGTTCTTCACTTAACCGTTCTGCGAATTTCCTTGTTTAATATAAAAGAAAAGTATTTCTCTGTTCTTAGCACAGTCAAAACAAGTCTTGAATGATAGTAAAATTAGTTCTAGATTTTGTATTCTGTAACTATATCAATAAAATTGTATTTGTTAAGAAAGATTTTCCTAGGGCAAGCAGTTTTCCTTGGAAGCAGTTAGGTTCCTCTGGAAGTTGAAGCATTTAACAAATTATTGCTTCAACATTATAAATCAGGGTTTTAAAAAAAATTTTATTTATTTATTTGAGAATGAGTGAGAGCAAGAGAGAGGGCATGAGTGCAGGGGAGGGGTTTAGGGGTGGAGGGAGAAGGAAAAGAAAACTCGCTGCTGAGCGTGAGTTAAACTGAGTTAAGCCGAGATGCTTAACAGACTGAGCCACCCAGGCACTCCTATAAATCAGGTCTTAATCTTTCTCTAGGATTGTAAGTAAACATGTTTGTGATACTGAAAATGGGAAGTCATATAGATAGTCAGGAGCAATAGATTAATAAACTACGATAATGCTATTGAAGGGAATGCTCTTTCACCATTAGATATCCTTTAGTTTCTTTAGCAATATTTTGTAGATCTCAAAATGAAAACAGTACATTCAATATGACCTACTATTGTAAAATTATATGAAAACATGCTAGAAAAAAGACTGGAAGGACATCACCTACATGTTAATAGTGGTCTTCTCTGCATGATGGGATTAGGCCAGTTTCTTTTAATATGTATTTCATAGAAATGCACACGAGTTACTTTTTTTTCTGATTGAAAAATTTTTATCGATAAGTAACTGTTAAGAACATTCATTTCTTGGGGCGCCTGAGTGGCTCAGTGGGTTAAGCCTCTGCCTTCGGCTCAGGTCATGATCTCAGGGTCCTGGGAGCGAGCCCCGCATCAGGCTCTCTGCTCAGCAGGGAGTCTGCTTCCTCCTCTCTCTCTGACTGCCTCTCTGCCTACTTGTGATCTCTCTCTGTCAAATAGATAAATAAAATCTTTAAAAAAAAATAGAACATTCATTTCTCTTGAGTCTGCTGTCAACTATAATCTATAAAAGCAAATTATACTTAAATTATAACATTCAACAAAGAGAATTTTTTTTAAAAAAAGGCAGCCACCGACGAACTAATAAACACAATGTGCTTTCTCACACCAGTTACTTTTGAGATAAGAAAATAATTAAAGGTATATATTTTTTAAGTCTGCCATTTCTTATGTTGTGGTAGAGTCAGCCTAGAGTAAGCAGGCAAGAGATAAAGTAAAGTTATACTCAAAAGTACCTCAGCTTGGGGTGCCTGGTTGGCTTAGTTGGTGGAGCCTGAAACTTTTGGCCTTGAAGTGGTAAGTTCGAGCCCCACATTAGGCATAGAGATTTTTTTTTAAATAAAAATAAAATCTTAAAAAAAATCTTAACTTTTATTAAAAAGATTTTAAAAATATAACCACATCTTGGGAATTGTGTTTACAAGGTATTCTTAGTGTGAATTTTTTTTTAGAGTGAGAGTAAGCATGGGTGCACGTGCATGTGATAGGGTTGGGGGTGGGGGGAGAAGGACAGAGGGAAAGCAAGAGAGAGAATCCCAAGCAGCCTCCATCCCCAGGCTCCATCCTCCTGACATGGGGCCCAATCTCATGACCCTGAGATCACGACCTGAGCTGAAATTAAGAGTGGGGCACTTAACCAACTGAGGCACCCAGCCACCCAGGTGGCCCAACTGAATTATAGTTGGCCTTTGAAGAACATGGATTTGAACTGCATGGGTCCACTTACACATGGATTCTTTTTTCTATAAATATTGTATAATACTGCAATGTATCTTATCTTATCTTATGATTTTCTTAACACTTTCTTTTCTCTAGCTTATTTTGTATGCATATAATGCAAGGACTTTCAATCGTTGGGTGATAGGGTGTTGGGGAATGTGGTGGGGGTGTTGGTGTCCCTAACTCTTGCATAGCTCCAGGGTTAACTGTGCTTTAACTAGTTTGCTTTGCTTCTAAAAAAGATCCTCTAAACCAAAGGAGCACTGATTGTGAGGAGACAAAAGAACATTAAATGGAGGCTCTCTGCAGAAGACAAGTCTGTAATGGTATGATGAAGTAGAGAGTTTTCTGGGCAATTGGATTCATGGGGAGAAGAATCACTAAGAAACTGGAAAGAAGGGATGCCTGGGTGGTTCAGTTAAACGTCTGCCTTTGGCTCAGGTCATGATCCCAGAGTCCTAGGATCGAGTCCTACACATCCTCCTACTTGTCTGCTCTCACCCTCTCTCTCTCTGACAAAAAAAATAATATAATTAAAAAAAAATAAACTGAAAAGAAATACAGAATAGGAACTTGGTAGAGTCTCTGCAAAAAAAAAAAAAATTATCTTGATTGAGAGTTGTGCTTGGGGCTTTGGTATTTTTTTCATTCATTTTGATAAGCATTTATTAAGCACTTAATATGGGTTAGCCGCTGAGATGGATTGGAGGGGGAGCTTTAGAGTGATGTGAACAAAACAGACATCATCCCCGCCCTCACATATCTTATATTTCTGAGAAAATTTCTCTTGTCTATAGTCTTTAGCATTTTATTGTAGACAACAGAAACCAATACAAATGGCCTAAAAGCATTATTGCTCCTTTTAAAGTTTCCCAAAAGCCAAGAATTAGCTAAACACAGAGAAAATATAGTGTCAGAGTATATTCAAACAAACAATCTTGTCTGATATAAATTATAGTATAATCTCCATTTATATAACCAGTTAAATTATGAGTGAAAAAGATTTCACTGTTTAAAGTTTTGAAATACGGTATTTACGTAGTTAATTCTTGCTATCTTGTTTTAAAAGAAAAAACTCAAATTCCAAGGAACTGGAATTATAAAAAGTATTATCTTTGAAATTATTTTCTAACATCCACTTTCTTTTTTTTTTTTTAAGATTTTATTTATTTATTTGACAGACAGAGATCACAAGTAGGCAGAGAGGCAAGGCAGAGAGAGAGAGGAGGAAGCAGGCTCCCCCCCCGAGCAGGCAGCTCCATCCTAGGACCCTGGGATCATGACCTGAGCCCAAGGCAGAGGCTTTAACCCACTGAACCACCCAGGCGCCCCTAACATCCACTTTCAAATCTAGTTTGCTACACTATAGAATATTTCAGGGAGACATATATATTTAGCACATATATTTAACAATCATGATGGTATATTTTATAGAGACTTAGTTTTAATAATTTTAACATCAAAAGCAAGAAATTAAAGTGAAAACAATATACTAATCAAAACACAGTAAGTATGATCAAAATATAGGTAATAATGTATTTTCTGATACCTATTTTAAATTTTACATTGCTAATTATGTAAAAATAGGAAACAATTTCAGAATTCTTACAATTGCATCTATATTTTTGTCTGAAAAATTTATATGAGTTATTTTCTTCAGGTAGCGTGAGGTGGTTTCTTCTTTTCGGGGTTTAAGATTGCTATTTTTGGCTATTAGATCCAAGGTTAGTCGAACCATGATTTCTCCCTGAATCAAACTCTCAGCAGTAGCTTGGTTCTGATACCATCTCAAAAGCAGGTTTAGGTATTGTTTTATGCCCAACTTTCTAAAAATAAAAAAAAAAGTAATATTATGTACATGATAATTTAGGAAAAATTCTGATGTTTTAATTTTCTTATATAAAACTATTTGATAAGCTACTTCGGAGACATTTTTAAAGGCACTTAGGTATTTTCTAAGTTATTAGACTTAATTGTTTTTACAACACCAAAATTAATTAAATATACAATGCTCATTCACTTCTACTTTTAAATCTTTTCCTCTCTCTAGTACTGAGTTGTTACTGTGGGCATCTTTTAAAAGATTTTTTTCCTCTCAAGAAATATTATCTGATGTTCTCATATGAAGAGACTAAGGCCCAGAGATCTGTCTCAAACTACTGAAGGTAGTGGCAGTTGAGAATGCAACCAAGTCTTCTGGCTCCTTTTTCCATAGTACCCATGGTGATCATATTTTCAAAACCCTGAAAACAGAACACATCATGTAAAAACTGTGAGTATGTACATAGGACAATAGTGCAAAATACTTGAAAATGGAGCTGGCCTTGAAATTTATTATGTTACTACAACTGTAATCCACAAAGAGGCAACATAAGGCAGTGTTTTTCAGTCCAGACTGCCTGGTTCAGATTTTGGCTCCACTGCCCCCTAGTCAGGCAATCTTGGGCAGGGTAAATCAGTTTTGTTTTTTTTTCCCTAGTGTCCCCCCATTCACAGTACAAACCAGGCAAAGGGCCTGGGCTGAGGTATATTTGGTGGGTTTACTCTGCTTTCTCTTTCTGTACATTCCATGTAAAAACATAGCCAGTGGTAAGCACCAGGAGGCTATATTACCTCTGTTTATTATACAATTAGGTTAATAATGGTACCTACTTCCAAGGAATATTATGAAGATTACCTAAGATAATCATGTATAGAATATTCTGCATGGTGTCTGGTACACAGGTCAATAAACATTTGCTATCACTATTATTATTTTATTGTTTTGTTCACAAGTAAGGTGAATACTATTTATTTCACTGTTTCACCTGGAATACATTAGGATTATTAAATAAGGGGAACATACTATCAATAAAATATTGCTTTATGTAAGAGATCCATATGTGGTCCATGGGTTTAAAGTAACCCATTTTTTTCAATTATCCTGGAAGTATAGCTATTTAAGTGATAAATATCCCAGTTTTATAAAATTTATTATATTTTTAAAGTACAGTTTAAAATTGAGTGATATTATTCTCCTATATCTGGAATTTCACCAACCAAACACCTCAGTTTGCATCATATTCTGGACAGGAAACCAATGCATCAGAAAAAAAATGAATTTAGTAAAAGATGGCCTCCAATTTGTATTCTCATACATTGACATATAACTACACAGGCTATATTATATAAAATGCCCACAATAAAATATTCAAAGATATGGACTGTATCCATATATACTTCAGAATGCAAAATGTAATCTATAGAATAAAATTAATAAATCTTTGTAGATTTTTGAAATTTGCATGAATTCATTTTACAACCAAAATTTAAGATTATTGTTTACAGATCAAATTTCAAACATGACAATAATATTCTGAACAAAGTTTCTAATTAAGTAAAAAAATCCTATTTTTAATATTGCCTGAAAAATACTTCATAATGAAAGTATAAAGAAGAACACCACAATCATGGACCTATAGTCCACCTTAAAATATAAAACATTATAAATACATTTGGGGGGCACCTGGGTGGCTCAGTGGGTTAAGCCTCTGCCTTCAGCTCAGGTCATGATCTCAGGGTCCTGGGATCGAGCCCCGCCTCGGGTCCCTGCTCAGTGGGGAGATAGCTCCCCACCCCCCACCCCCACCTGCCTCTCTGCCTACTTGTGATCTCTGTCAAATAAAAAGAAAAAAAAAATTTGGAATCCTTCTTTACCTTTATTCTCTTTTTAGAGTTTAGTGTTAGATGTCTCTTATTTTTAGAGTTTAGAGTTATATTCATGTCTTTATACTTTTACTACAGATGTATGCATATTTAAATAATATATGGTACTATTTAAAATGTATTTTTACAGTCATAAATGACACTACTCTGATTCCAACTTTCTTTTTTGCTTAATGTCTTGTTTGTGAGAATCATCAGAGTTGATATGTGTAGCTCTAGAATATTTGGATCGCTGTGTAACATTCTTTTTTTTTTTTTTTTTTAAAGATTTTATTTGTTTGACAGACAGAGATCACAAGTAGGCAGAGACGCAGGCAGAGAGAGAGGGGGTAAGCAGGCTCCCTCCTGAGCAGAGAGCCTGATGTGAGCTCCATCCCAGGACCCTGGGATCATGATCTGAGCAGAAGGCAGAGGCTTTAACCCACTGAGCTACCCAGGCGCCCCTCGCTGTGTAACATTCTATTGTAAGGAATTTATTTCCTACAATGATAGATCTTTAGGTGTTCTTTTCTTCTTTTGCAATGTTGCTTTTATGATTCTTATATACATGTCATTTTTAACACACGTCTAAGAGTTTCTTTAGGGTTTAAAACTGGGAGTGGCTATTTCTGGGTTGGACCTTTTCAGTTTTGCTATTAATTGCCAAACTGTTCTCCAAAGGAGTTTTACCAGTGCAGTTAAGAGAGTTCTTTCTTCTTTACAATGCATTCTGTACCAGTGTCAGCACTTAATATTGGCTATCTTTTTGCTAATCTGATGGGTGTGAAGTGATATCTCATTATTTCTGTTTTTCTCAGATCTTTTTTATAAGTAAAAATAAAGCAAAAAAGGGATTTGAAAACAGCCAGGTCAGTATTCTCATCTCCTCCTTGTGTTTTAATTTGTATTCTATAATTACTAGAGATTGAGGGTCCTTTCCTGTTTATCACCATGTGGAGTTCCTTTTCTATTAATTGTGGTTTCTTATATTTTGTCCATTTTTCCTAATGGATTGTGTTTTTATAAGTAATTTTTAGATACACTGTATTTTTTTCAGATACCAGTATTTCTTTGATTATATATGTAGCAAATATCTATTCCCCGATTATACTTTGTCTTTTCTCCTTTTCTTCCAGTTTATGTTTAAAGGCATTTTCTAAAAAAAAATAAGCTATAAATTTTTAATGTGGTTAAATGTATCATTTTTTTGGCTCATGTTTTACGCTTTTTGTGGCTTATTTAGTAATTCCTTCGCTACCCATTTTAAGTCAAAGACCCTTTTTTTCTTGTAGACATGTTTAGGTTTTGCTTTGCACATTTTGTCTGCATTGCTGTGATCAGAGGCAGCAATCAGTGGTCAGAGGACAGATCCTTGATGTTTAGTGGCTAGTGTGCTTTTTGCCCATTTTGGCTTCTGCAAGTTGTGTGTAAGGTGCTCCAGAAACCCCTGTGTAGCTTCTTGCTATGGGTTTGGGTGTAGGGGATTAGTTGCTGTAGAGGTGAGATTGACCAAAGTTTATTGAGGTTTATGGTCTATGTCTTCCCCTGGAAGTTATAAGCCTTCAGTAGACACCAGGTTCTAAAATATTTACACCAGATTCTATCAGTGCATTTGTTGTGTAGGTGGAGAAACAGATGCATCCTACTCAGCCATATTCCCAGAATCCTCTCTTCCTTTTTTTTTTTTTAAGATTTTTAAAAAATATTTATTTTAAAAGATTTTATTTTATTTGACAGAGAGAGACCCAGCGAAAGAGGGAACAAAGCAGGGGGAGTGGGAGAGGGAGAAGCAGACCCCCTCTGAGCAGGGAGGGAGCCTACCTGGGGCTCATTCCTACGATCCTGGGATCATAACCTGAGCTTTAGGCAGATGCTCAATGAATAAGCCACCCAGGCACCCCGAATCCTTTCCTCTTTAACTCTTTCATACACGTTTTAAAATTAAAATTGTAAATTCTCACGTTCCATGAAAAATCCTGTCAGGATTTTGTTAAGAATTGCATTGAATTTATAAACAATTTGTGAAGCACTAACATATCTCTAATATTGAGTCTTCTTTTCCATCACTGTGGTATGCCTCTCTATTTTAGGAGTGCTGCTTTAATGATTTTCAATAGTTTCATAGTTTTCTTGTAATTAAGACCATGCATAATTTTTTGGTCATTTTTAAGGATCATATCTTTGTTGATATTGCAAGTGACATTTTTTTAGGAATTACATTCTCTGGAGCTAGTGTGTAGAAATGAAGTATTTTAAAAAATATTTGAAATATTTAAAATATTTTAAAAATATGATTTCTTTAGCTACTATTTTAAAATTTTAGAACTTTTTCTGGAAATTTCAAATATCGTTTTTACACTGATAACTGTAGTGAAAATGCATATCTTAAAGTGGTTATATACCCCAGGATTTCTTTCTTACAGCTGAGGCAGGAAACTGTTGTACAGGTGGCCATGCACAAGCAACCCTGTGCTATAAAGGAGGTGATGCCCTATGGGGTAATTTTTATCTGTGGGGGACATAAGCTACAAGTTATTTTTTCTTCCTTCTTTTCCCTGTGGACTTTTAGAAGACACAGCCATTTCAAAGGTCTCACTGAAGACAGCTCTGGTCTTCAGGGTTATATACTGGGCTGTATTTGTCCTCCTTCCATCTCTCTCTCATTCCTTTTTTCCTTCTCTCCTGCTTCCCTGAGATTACAACCCCCCCCAAAGTGTTATCATTGAGTCTTTGCTTCAGGCTCTGGTTTCTAAACTGGGCTAAAATGGATAAATTTTGTATCATCTAAATCCTCATGAATGACCTTGCTATAAATGGATTTTGTCTGTGGGTTCTGGTACACAAGCTGGTGTTTGCATAGAAATTAATTTAATTATCTCAGGTAATTAAAAAAGCAAAGGGGCAATGGACCTCATCAACAAGCTATAGGAAAACTTTCCAGGGGCTTGAATATGGAAAGGGAGATAACTGAATCAACCCATAACACACAATGATACAGACTTAATTCAAAAGAACTTGCATTGTAGCAGTCAAATCCAGAGGAGAGGATTTAGT